CATGAAAATATAATGCTCAAGTATATAGAATTATACATGTTGGAACTTTAAATTTTTAGTAACCTTGTGTTCAATGATAACAAAGCAATCTTAACCTCTTCTTTTTTATTAAAACAACAATAATTTTACCTAGTGGAATTTAAGGACTTAAGAGTACTTTATGTTATGTTTAACAGTTAGCATTTTAACCTTACAAATTAATCAGATGTCTAATAAACACATTTATGAGTAATCCCATGTAAAATCTAACTTACTCATTTTTACCAAGTTATCAGACAAGCATATTGAACAGTATTAGCCATTTCTCCTTTGTTGAAGAAAAGTCCTAGAACAATGGGTATTAGACATTCTATAGACATCAATAGTTAATAGTTCTTTGACCACCTGGAGATACTTGTGAGGTAAATAATCCTAAAGACATCTTTACTTTCATCTGTTTACCCAGCTGAGATTGAAACTTCTTAAATCATGTGAATTAAAGGATCCATTTCTATTAATTTATGAGCACTCATTGTACATCTGCCAATTTGGATATCATGTACATGATATACGGACGTACACACACACAGACATATAACACATAACACAAGTGTGCACACAGAACACAATAGCAAAGGCCTTGTAGCTTTTTGTAGGCAAATCTTCATTCCAATGTTACAGAGGTTTAAAAAGTTGAACAAAAATAGGACTGATCAGAAAAACATTAACCTGGGTGTGTAGGATCAAAATCATGAGCTCCCAAAATATGGAACTTAAGGAAAAAACCCAAAGGGTCCTAGAAATCATGACTACCTGGTAATTAGTAAGGTGCCATAAAATATGCTTTGGGGTTTAGTATTGTAGGAGTTCAGGCAAAAGACACTTTTACATTTGTTTTCTTTTTCCTAGGGCCTCAGATCAGTCTCCTATTGAGTCTGCAGGCCTCTTCCATTTACAGTTCAATGTAAGTCTTGACATAAAACAGGAAGAAGCTGGGTAAAACTGCTATTCCCTAACCCTGCTCCCAAACTCTCCTGCATTCCTCAGGTAGGAGACAGTTGGATAGGATCATGGAATGTTGGATCTTATGATTGGGTTAGGTATTGGAATTCCTTACTGTACCCTGAGGGATTGGAGGTAAAGGACCCTAGCCTCCTTTCCACTGGGGAGAGGTCACTAAGGGAGAAAGGGACATGTACCTGGACAACTCCCTCTGACCCTGCTACTTCTCAAAAGGGAAGCAAGGGTGCAGGCTGGGTAGAGGGCGCCAAGCAAGAAGGAGTAGCAGGTGGACAGAAAGTAGGTGAGGGAGGTCCCAGAGGGGTCAGAGCAGAAGGTAGAGAACGGTGGGAAGGGGGTCATCAAGGGGGTCAAAGTCTGGGGTTTGGGGAGGGTTCTGAATCCCTCACAAGAGATTTGTTGTCAGTAGCATGGAGCAAACTGACAAGGCTGTCCTTCCTGGGACAGCAGCAACAAGCATGCTTAGGGGTTGTGTCCTGGGCTCGGGTGGGGTGAATCTTCTAGCAGGCACATTCGGAATGGAAGCCTGGAGTCCCTAGATAAAATGGCTCCTAAATCGAAGCCTGGGAGGCCCTGAATAAAATGGCTCCCGACCTAAAATGGCAGATCTGATGCCAATAGTGATCTCATGCCAATACTTCTCAAAAGTAAAAATGAATAGAACTAGAGATGTAGTTCACTAGTAAAGTTCTCCTGGGTTCAAATTTCAGTCTGAAAAAAAAATTAAAAAAAAAGAAGAAGAAGAAAGTAAGTAAGTAAGATGCCAGCAGATTGGGAGTCTTTGGAGAGCTTGCTTTTGGCTTTTTTCACTCATGGACGGCACCTTCTCACTGAGTCATTACATGGTATAAGGGGCAAATAATGCCTCCCATGACCATATTGAAGCAAGAATTAAAGACAGGCAGTCAATGTAGATAGGTAATAGGGTCGATGGAGAAAATGGAGGCCAGTTGGAGTCCAGGAAGTTGGAGACCACCCCTGGGAGACTAGAATGGTAATGCCTCCTGAGCACTTTGACCACCAGGATTCCCTACATATACTGCCCCTCCTAGAAGGTGGTTCATGAAGCACCCCCTGAACAGACAGGGAGCTGCTAATTAAAGTCTCCTGGGATGCAGCTCCCTTCCGGCCCCAACACTCCACCTTGGCCTTTCCAGCCCACCTGCTTCTCACCTTTTGGTCATTCCACCAGCATCTCCTGGGCCTCATCAGGAAGGAAGAGATAAGGGGGAAGAGATCAGGAAAACAAAGAAAGTCTAAAATGTCTAAAAGGTGCAGGATGCTCTCACTTCTTGGGATACCAGGATACCACCAGCTGTTAGGGTCGGGCAAATGTCGGAGGAAAGGACCACCAAGAGACTGTCTCATGCAAAAGCAAAGGGGTTTATAGGACCAGCATGCTGGGGCTCAGAGTTCTCCTGAGAGAAGCTGGAGCCCTGAGCACAGCTTAAGCAGAGTTTTTATGCAGTGTTTAAACAGGGAAGTTCATATGGCAGTTAGGGTGCGAGGGTGGGATTGTTACAAAATAACCATTACAGAATAATCATGCGTTTTGTCAGGGGGTGTTGGGTCAGGGTATGTTTTGACATAAGTAACTGTTTTTAACATAAGTTTCGGGTTCCAGGAAAACAGAACTTAAACTTACAGAAAAGCAAAACTTAAACTTAACAGGAGAGCAAAACTTAAATTTAACCTTTACATTCCCCACTTCTTTTTCTGAGTACTTCTAATCTTAGAAGTGACAGATTATTGAGGGGTATCACACTCTGTGTCTGCTAAAGGGACATACTGTTGTCTTATTACCATAAGTTTAACTTGTCCAATTTGAGCTTGGAGAAAGGAGACCACACGGTTGAGTAAACAGGGTCTCACAGTTAACAATAACATGAGGATTATTAAAGGACCAGCTAGGGCTGATAAGAGTGTAGTTAGCCAGGGGGATTGTGTGAACCAAGACTCAAACCATCCTTTTTGAGCCTCTCTCTCTCGTTGTCGCTCCTCAAGGCGTTTTCTTAATTTAGTCATTGATTCTTTGACTACCCCACTATGGTCAGCATAGAAGCAACATTTCTCCCTTAGGGCAGCACAGAGTCCCCCTTTCCTCATGAAGAGGAGGTCTAACCCTCGTCTATTTTGTGAAACAACTTTAGAGAGAGAGGTTAGGGACTCTTGTAAGGCTGTGATGGAGGTTTCTAATGTTTTTAAGTCCTGATCTATTGCTGCTTGTAATTGGGCCATTTGTTGAGTCCCATGGACCAGGGCAGCGGTTCCTGTACCCACTCCTGTAGCAACTCCTATTTCTAATAATATGGCTAAAGTGAGGGACACAGGTTCCCGGCGGAATCAGGTGGTATATCCCCTTATTTGATCTTCAAATGTATTTGCGTCATGATAGAGCACTCTGGGAAATATTTGTACCATTACACAATAATTTACAGAGTTGTTAAATATCTGGGCTGAAATGCAAGGAGTTAACCCTGAGTCACATGCCCACCAGGTTCCTTTCCAGCGAGGCTCCAGGGATGACACCTGATGTCGTCTTATATAGACGAAGTCTCCCACTTGGTATTGGTGTGGGGTCCCTTCATCTCCAGGTTGGCAGGAAGCAGCCAGCTGTTTCCACAGGTACTGCTGGGTTTTTTCAAGAGCTTTAAGTCTGTCAAGCAAGGGAGTATGGAAGGAATCATTAAGTCTCAAAGTTGGGGTTAGGTCTCTTATTGGAGGAGGGGTACCATAGAGAACTTCATAGGGGGTAAGATTACATAAAGAGACTGAGGGAGTATTTCTTGCACGAAACAGTGTATAAGGTAGGAGCATAGTCCAATCTTTTATGCCGGTCTCTAAGCTCAATTTTGTTAAGGTCTCTTTAATAGTCCTATTCATCCTTTCTACCTGTCCTGAGCTCTGGGGTCTATAAGCACAATGTAACTTCCAATTAATCCCCACGGTCCTGGCCAATCCCTGACTTACCTGGGCCACGAACGCCGGTCCATTATCGGACCCTATTACCTTAGGCAGGCCAAATCTCGGGAAGATGTCCTCCAGGATCTTTTTGATTACCACTTGAGCTGTTTCTTTTTTCATGGGGAAGGCTTCAACCCACCCTGAAAAAGTATCTACAAAAAACTAGAAGATATTTAAGTCCATACCTTGCTGGTTTAATTTCAGTAAAGTCTATTTCCCAGAATTGTCCTGGTCTGGTCCCTCGTAGGCGCTTCCCTGTAGGAAGCTTGGAAGGGTAAGCATTAACCAATTGACAGACCCGGCAGGCTCTTATTACCCGTTTGGCTATTTCTTTTCGTTGTGTGCTGGTCAGCGGAAATTTCTGCTCTTGGTCCTTCAGGAATGCCTGTAGTTTTTTTGAACCAAGGTGAGTGAGTTGATGCACATCTTTAACATAGTGTAGGGCTTTTTGAAATTGCAGGCTAGGCCCGGTGGAGTCAAGGAGTTCAGTTTCAGTCTCCTCAGGTGTTAAATTACCTGGGTACTCTGACGCAGTTAAATCTCCTGACTGTTGTTCCCCCGGTGAGGAAAGTGTTAACATGGTTACTCCAGTCAGAGCTGCCAACTTAGCTTCCTCATCTGCCCTTCTGTTTCCGACCACCATGGGATCATTTCCCTTTTGGTGCCCTGGGCAGTGCACTATAGCTAGTTCTTTGGGGTTTTGCACTGCTGAGAGAAGGCGGAGAATCTCATCTTTGTTTTTTATTTCTTTTTTGGCCGAGGTTAATAGCCCCCTTTGCTGATAAGTAGCCCCATGTATATGGGCGGTAGCAAACGCATATCGGCTATCAGTATATATGGTGGCCTTTTTGCCTGCTGCTAGTTCTAATGCCTTTGTAAGAGCGATCAGCTCTGCCTTTTGTGCAGATGTCCCTTCCGGGAGACTAGAGGACCAGATGACTTTTGTCCTGCTAACTACTGCTGCCCCAGCTCGCCGCTTACCGTCCTGGAGGAAGCTGCTGCCATCCGTAAACCACACGACTTCAGGATGGGACAGTGGCTGATCCTTTAGATCCTGTCGTATATTGGTCTCTTCTGCCAGTATATGTTGACAGTCATGGATGACAGGCTCTGATGATTCTTCAGGTAGGAGTGTGGCTGGGTTAAGTGGGGCTGGGGGTCCCAGTGTTATTCTGTCTTTGTCAAGCAACAGGCTCTGATAGTGAGTTATTCTAGAGTTTGATAGCCATCTGTCTGGAGGCTGATGAATGATGTTCTCCAGGGCATGAGGGGCTATAATGGTTAGCTTCTGTCCCAGCGTTAATTTATCAGCATCTTTTATTAGAAGGGCCGCTGCTGCTATAGCTTTTAGGCAATGGGGCCACCCGCTAGCCACTGGATCTAGCCTTTTGGACAGGTAGGCTACAGGTCTCTTCCAGGGCCCTAAAGTCTGAGTGAGCACTCCTCGGGCTATTTCTTTTTTTTTTTTTCAATGTAAAGAGTAAAGGGCTTTTCTACATCTGGAAGTGCTAGAGCTGGAGCAGATAGCAGTGCCTTTTTAATATCATTAAAAGCTTGCTGATGTTTGGGGGTCCATTGGAATTGGGTGTTTGCCTTCAACAGTGGGTACAAAGGAGCGGCTAGGGATGCAAACCCAGGAATCCATAATCTACAAAAGCCAGCAGTCCCGAGAGACTCTCTAAGTTGCCTCCTATTAGATGGGGGCGGTATCTGCACAACAGTCTGTTTTCTGGGCCCTGTGAGCCATCTTTTGCCATGTCTAAGGGAATAGCCCAGGAAAATAACTTCTTGCTGGCAGATTTTAGCCTTTTTGGCAGAAGCTCTATATCCAGGCCGAGCAAGCTCGGATAATAGTGCTCGTGTTTCAGACTCACAGTTTTCCTTGGTGTCAGCTGCCAGCAGCAGGTCATCCACATATTGAAGCAGGGTGACTCCTGGGTGTGTAGTCCTAAAGTTATTGAGGTCCCTGTGGAGGGCTTCATCAAAGAGAGTGGGGGAGTTTTTGAACCCCTGTGGGAGTCTAGTCCAGGTTAGTTGGCCAGATGTTCCTGTTTCTGGATCCACCCACTCGAAAGCCAACAGTAGCTGGCTATCTTTATGTAAAGGCAAACAAAAGAAGGCATCTTTTAAGTCCAGGACAGTATACCATTTTCGTTCAGAATTTAGAGTACTAAGCAGATTATATGGATTAGGTACTGTGGGGTGAATGTCCTGTACTCTGTTGTTGACTTCCCTTAAGTCCTGCACAGGATGATAGTCTCCTCTAGGTTTCTTTACTGGCAGTAGGGGAGTGTTCCAGGCCAATTGGCAGGGCCTTAGGACCCCTAGAGCCAAGTATTTTTGAATATGAGGCCTTATTCCATTTTTAGCTTTTTTGTTTAGAGGATATTGTTTAATATTGATTGGGGAGGCAGAGGTTTTTAATTTCACTACTATCGGAGGCTGTTTGACTGCTAAACCTAGTCCAGCAGTTTCTGCCCAGGCATCGGGGTAATTTATTATCCATTTTGGGGGTAGCTTGCCCGTTTTATCAGTCTTAGAGGGCATGAAGAGTTGATGTTCATCATCTACTGACAAAGTTAAAGCTGTGACTATGGGAGTCTTTACTGAAGGGTTCAGAAACTCCACTTGGGGACCATCAGGGTTAAAGGTTATTTTGGCCCGGAGTTTGGTGAGAAGATCTCTGCCCATCAATGGGGTCGGACATTCTGGGATTACCAAGAAAGAGTGATGAATTTTACCCTTCCCCAAGTCCATAGTCCTCTTAGTTGTCTAAGCCCGATATTTACTGCCATTAGCCCCTTGAACTAGTGACCTCTTGTTTGATAAGGGGCCCAATGGAGTTTTAAGGGCTGAGTATATTGCTCCTGTGTCCAGTTCGAAGTTTACTGGGGTCCCCTCCACTTCAAAAGTTACCCTGAGCTCGGGGAGGGGGTCCGAGCCCTGACTCCCCTAATCATCTTCCAGGGTTAGGATGGCTGGCTGGCGTGACTGTTTCCTTTTAGGGCATTCTCTGGTCTAGTGTCCCTTTTCCTTACAGTAAGCACATTGGTCTGAAGCCAAGGGCGATTTTTGGTGTGGGCCCAGGTACCCTTTTCTGTCTCCTTGCTTTTTAACTTCTAGTCTGTCTGCTGCTGTGACCAGGACCTTTGCCAACATCTTAGTCTGTCTTTTATTCCTTTCATCTTCCTTCTTTTCCCTTTCTTTCTCCCTTCTTTGTTCTTTTTCTTCCTCTGTCTCCCTTTTATAATACACTTTCTCAGCCTCTCTGACTAAATCTCTTAAAGTCATATCTTGTAGTCCATCTAAACGTTGTACCTTTTTTTTTAATATCTAGGGCAGCTTGCCCGATGAAGGCCATTGCAACAGATGCCTTTTGGTCCTCTGCCTGAGGATCGAAAGGAGTATATCTCCTATATGCTTCCATAATTTTCTCTAGAAACATTGAGGGTGACTCATTAGGCCCTTGGATAATCTCTCTTACCTTGGCCAGATTAGTTGGCCGTCTGGCGGCCGCTCGGAGACCCGCTATTAGAGTCCGGCGATAAGTGGACAGATGCTCCCTACCTTCGAGGGTGTTGGGATCCCAGTTGGGTCTGTTCAGGGGAAAGGCAGCTTCAATTAGATTGGGAAGTTGGGTTGGTCGTCCATCTGGTCCAAGAATATTTTTCCTGGCTTCCAGGAGGATCCTCTCTCGTTCCTCAGTTGTGAAGAGGGTCCCTAGAAGCTGTTGGCAATCATCCCAAGTAGGCTGGTGTGAAAACATCAGTGACTCTATTAAACCTGTGAGTCGGGTGGGATCTTTAGAAAAAAGGGGATTCATATTTTTCCAGTTATATAGATCAGAAGAGGAGAAGGGCCAATATTGGTAAACTTGTATTTCTCCCTCTTGTCCATCATCAATCATTGGCCCGTAGGGGCGGAGGGGGAGCATTACTGGAGCATCAAGATTCTTAATTATTTGCTGTCGGCGGTTTCCCCCTGCTGGCCCAATTTCCTCCAATGGAGGAGGAGTTGGGCTTACCGCAAGGGAGTCATCTGGAGCAGTTTCCTCTACCGAAGGGATCGGATCTGCTTCAGGGGAATTGTCTATAGGACGTTGGGAGCTGAGGGGCAAGGGATATGGGGGTGGAGGAGGGGAATCTAGTAATTCAGGGAGGATGGAGGGAAGAGGGGGAGGAAGAGGAGAAGGAGTGGAGGGTTTGAGGGACAGAATGGTGGGGGTAGAGGTGGAGGCAGGTACAAGAAAAGGTTTCACCCATGAAGGGGGAGATTCACAGAGGTTCTGCCAAGTGAGAATATATGGCTGTTGATCTGGATGACCATGTGGCCCCGGCTGGAAAACAATATTTCTGACTTTTCGGATTAGAGGGAGGTGGAAGGATTCTTCTGGGGGCCATCCGACTCCAAGAGTGGGCCATTCTGATGTACAGAGAGTCTGCCAGGTCTGGCGTTTCACTGAAAAAGAGAGATTCTGGGCCCTTGAGTGGACTTTAGTCCAATGATCAAGGGTCAAAGACAGGGGAGTTGAGGTACCTTGTCCCATAATGAGGGATATGCAAACAGTGAAAGTAATGACACAGACAACAAAGACAAACAATAGACGTCCACCACAAGTTTGAAATAGAAACCAAAACTGAGTAGCTGGCAGAAACTGACGGGCTGGCAACAGAGTCACTGAGTCTGAATCATTGGCAAAATACACCTGAGCTGAGGGCTCTTCTGTCCCTCGCATCGGGGGCACTTCCGACCCTCGATTTCCCGAGTCCACCAAGGCGTCCCCTGGGGACGTAGCCTGTGGCTTCTGGACACGTCTGTCCACCACCGTCAGGGAGAACTTACGCTCTCCGCCAACAGCCACCTTGCCAAGCCCTAAAATTAAAAGTCCTGAGCGATCACAACGAAGAAAACAAAAAGGAGGCGCCTTACTTACCCTGAGAAATGTGTGTTGGGGTCTTTCGTCCGCCACTGACGAATCCCGGACGAGCCCCCAAATGTTAGGGTCGGGCAAACGTCGGAGGAAAGGACCACCAAGAGACTGTCTCATGCAAGAGCAAAGGGGTTTATTGGACCAGCATGCTGGGGCTCAGAGTTCTCCTGAGAGAAGCTGGAGCCCTGAGCACAGCTTAAGCAGAGTTTTTAATGCAGTGTTTAAACAGGGAAGTTCATATGGCAGTTAGGGTGCGAGGGTGGGATTGTTACAAAATAACCATTACAGAATAATCATGCCTTTTGTCAGGGGGTGTTGGGTCAGGGTACATTTTGACATAAGTAACTGTTTTTAACATAAGTTTCGGGTTCCAGGAAAACAGAACTTAAACTTACAGAAAAGCAAAACTTAAACTTAACAGGAGAGCAAAACTTAAATTTAACCTTTACACAGCTATGGCCCCTTTCTTTCTCCAGGAAAAGCCTTTATTAAAAAAACTCTTTTAAATTCTTGCCTTGGCACTTCTATAATGTTCAGAGTTGAACAAGTGAGGAAGAAGAACTCATCAAGACAACCCAGTGATATCCTATTCATACCCTTAGGACCATAACTCTTTTTCTTTTGGTACCTGGGGTTCAAATCAGGAACACTCAACCACTGAGCCACATCCACAGTCCTATTTTGTATGTATGTATGTATGTATTTTAGATACAGCGTCTCCCTGAGTTGCTTAGCACCTCAAAATTGCTAAGGATGGCTTTGAATTCCTCATTCTCCATTCTCCTGTCTCAGCCCCCAGAGTCCCTGGGATTACAGGCATGCACCACCACTCCCAGCTAGGACCTTAACCCTTAATATCATCACACTGGAGACTAGGTTTCAATGTGTGAATTCGGTGGACACAAGTTCTCAGACCCTAAACCTACCACCCAAATCTCAGCCACCAAGACTGCAAACTACTAGAAAATGTCTTTGCGTATTTAAAACAACCCACTCACCAATCTATTTCCATCCCCACACTTGTGAGGAGCAGGACTGGCTTTCTCCATTGATTCTAAAGCCTGGGCCAGCTGGGTATGTCCAGGACAGCCAGGTGGGGTCCTCAGGATCCTGTCTCCTGAAGGTGGCTCTTATTCTCTGTGAATCTGCAGACACTGTGATCCCCACACTGACATGATTATAACACACCTGAGAAGATGTTTCTCTGTGTGATGTGTCCTGGAAGAGGCCTTGGAGGCTCAGGAGGTCCAGAGAAGAGATTCTTGTCCCTCATCCCTGAGAACCTCTCTATCTAGTAAGGTGTCCTTCTGCCTTGCAGAATTCCCCCTACAGTCTCCTGACCATCCCCCACTCACTATAACATCCACATCAGTGATTTTTCTTCTCCCTTCATTGCTGTCCCTAAATTTCTCTGGCCCCTCATATGAAAACCCTCTCATCTTTTCTCATTGTACAAAGTTAGCAAATAATGATCATTGTGCCTCTGGGTCCCCTCAAATCTTTTTCTATTAGACATTAAGAGGCTGATTTCTCATCCCAAAGACCTTGGGAGTCCCCCAATTCCAAACCTCTGACTGACATGCCCTCCTTGGGTACAAGTTACCCAAGGGGAGATGACCCCCTCGTTTCCATTCATTATATTTAAGCCCAATCAAAGACTTCATGAATTTGGGGCAAAAATGACAATTCCATTTGGCCATTTGGGCCACCAGTGCACAGACAAGGTTAACATTAAGCCAGAAGGGACCCAGCACATAAAGGACTTTCCTTTTGGTGAAGAATGATAGGTGCAACCTTATAGCATTTAATGAGTTCCTGCAAGGAAGCTTCCATCTTTCAATTCTGCAGAAGCACACTGTATTACCCAAAGTGTTTCCCACAATATTTTTAAGATACTTAATAGATTTTTAAAATTCTTCAGTGTGGAGCATGTTGTGTGTGTGTGTGTGTACAGTGTTAGGGACCACACCTACCTCCTTGGCCTGCTAGGCAAGCACTATACCACTAAGCTACATCCATTCACAACCCAGTGTGGAATAACTTATATGCAATTAAATTAATCTCTTGAGTGTACAATTTACTCACTCTGAGGTAATATGTAAGATAAGCAAACACCACCACCACAAGCTTTACCAGTTTCTTTCACTTCCTAAACTTCCTCATGCCCCTTTGTAGTCCTTCCTTGCCCTGAATCCTGCTCTAAGGCAGTCACCTAATTGCTTGGGTTCCTCTAGTTGGCCTTGCCCCAAATATGATGCAAATGGACACTTTTAGGAATGGCTCTGTCATTTCACATACTACTTTTGAGATGCAAGCGGATCTCAGATTCCTTTTCCTGGGGAGTGGCATTCCTTGTAGGGACACACCACACTTTATCCACTGACCAATTAATATACACCTGAGTGTCTTCCATTTTTTGACCAATTCTAATAAAGCTCTTAGGAACATTGTCATAAATTATTTATATGGACCCATGCTGTCATTTCTCTTGAGGAAAGACAGGAGAGGAGAATTGCTGAATCGCATGGCAAGTGTGTGTGGAATGTTTAAGGGAAATACCAAATTTACTCCACAAAGACTCTGTCACTTTGCATCCCTACCAGCCATTTACAAGGGTATCAGTTGCTCCATCCTCTTCAACACTTGGTCTGATGCTCTTAGATCAAATTGTATTTAAACCATGTGTTGGGGGATCTCACTGCAGATGTTTGTTTTGACTTTTAGACTCTGCCTCCTCTCTCTCTCTCTCTCTCTCTCTCTCTCTCTCTCTCTCTCACACACACACACACACACACACACACACATCTCTATATATGTATAAGGTATAATATATACAAACACATACACAGATACGCTCCTGACACTCTTCATCATTTCTCATTATTACTGTTACCTTGGTCATTGTCAAAGCCAAGGCCTGTGTAAGATGGTTCCATAAATGGCAGAGCCCCTGGGGACCTTCACCCTAGCAGACTCCAGATTAGGAAGAAGCACTTGTTGTCCAGGTGACACAAAGGAGCTCATAATAGGACTGAGCTGGGAGGAGCCCAGAACCCAGCTGAAAACTAGGTGAGGAGAATCAGAGCAGAGAAAGCATCTGCCCAGGCTGGAGCTGGGCGATGGCTTGGAGCAGAGTGCACTGGAAGGAGAACTGAATCCACAGCAGCCTTGCTGATTGGGTGAAGGTCAAGGAGAAGCAGTGCTCTCAGAATGCTGGCTACTCACTTGTGGATAAAGCTGATTATTCCCCAATGTGGCTGAGAAGGAAACAATATTGAGGTGTGAGAGCCTATGATGGGGTGGGGGTAGGCTAGCCAAGGATGGTTTGCAGGGGAATCTCTAGGCTGTCTGAAGTTCAGCCCCACACCCCTTCATCAGGGAAGTCAGGTTGAGCAGATCCTCCTAACCAGACGGGCTTCCATTCACCCATGCAGGGCTCAGGATCTTTCAGAATCTCCCAGAGGCATCTAATCCCTAGGAGTTCCCTGGACAGGCAGGCACTTATTTCGCACCTTTCCAGTGGATAATGACTGTAAATTGGACCTTGGTTTTGTGTTGATGGGGTATCTACAGAAATGCCTTCACAAGAACGGTCAGACTAAGAAGGATGGAGCCCTCCTAGGATCTCAGAACATGGTCTATAAGAGATTAGGAACTATTGAAGGGCACCCAATCAACTATGAAGGTCACAGTCACATCTCCCTGCCACTGTGTAAGCAGTTCCCCACACTCCATCAAGGTCATCTATATTTCTCCATCTCTGGAAATCTTCATTCTGCACCCCCCAGAGAAGCCCTCCAGGTTCCTCTAGTTATATCCAGCTCTCTGCTCCCTCCTCTCCTCCCCAACACCCTCATGGGCCTGTGACAGCAAAGACAGGGAATTAGTGACTCCAGGTGTGAGGAGAGGGGTCCTGGGATCTCAGAAGGCTGCAGAGGCTGTGCAGTACCTTCGGAGGTGGCCAAGGGAAGAAGAGGGGTAGGGCCCTGCCCATAGCACACTGGCTCCATAACCTCTGAGAGTTCAGAGTGACTCTCCTGCAGCACACCCCTTGCAGGGCACCACCCATTTACCCGCCTCCTCACTGTCAGGTCCAAATTCCACCTGGCAGAATGCTGCTCTGCATTTCCAGGTGAAGCCCAGGGAATACAGAAGCAGTCCTAGGAGCCGACCATGTGCCTGCATCGACTTCCTGTCTGGCTCCTCATCGTGGTCTATGGGCTCCTGATGCTCCTCATCCAGGGCCAAGGTGAGGCTGCCATGGGGAGGGTGGTAGAGACCAGGTTGGATCTGCCAAAGTGCACAGAGACAGAGCCTGAG